GTCAGTGTATAAATCCCTGAGTGAGCTTCAGTCACCAACCAGAGCTCCAGAGATTGAATCTCTGAAACCAGTGTGTTGTTCTAGGATAAAACAAGGTTATGAAGCATTAAGAAACCTTTCATATACACAAGTGTATTTGTACTATCAGAGGTGATCAATAATGTTTGATGAATGAAGTGAATTTCATTGTACGGGCAGAAATGGGCTGAGTTATAGTTTTTATATTTTCATCACCTTGGTCCACTTGTAATGATCAACAGGAAATGCTGTGCATGCAATTGTCACATTTTCTCCAGGATGAACTTCAACAATGCTTTCCGCATTACACAATAATTTAACTTCATCTAGAGGAGAGAAAATATGAGATGAATTTGGATTTAAAACACAAGCATGGGTAAAACATCTGCTGTAAAATGAAAGTGGCAGAAGGATTATTATTATCAGATGCAATTCACATGAATGGCACCTTCTGGAATTGTCAGCTCCCTTTATTTTGTTCATAACATACCATTGTTAAGGCTGGAAAGAAGGTGTATAAGGGGAAAATAAGTGGGCTAAGCAAAGCTCTTAAATGTGTTCTTGCAAATATTACATACATTTTCTCAGAAGGGCTGATATTGGCTTATGGGCTCTGATACATTCAAGAGCAAAATGAAAAATAAGCATTAAACACCAAGATAGAACTAATCATTTGTAACTAAATATGAAATGCTGTGCTGACTGGGAACTTCTCCGCATGCTTTTTGTCTTACCTTTGATCTTTAGCTCTGTTTCTCTCCTGATGGACCCCAGAGGAAAAGTCGTAATTTCACAAATATAGAAACCACTGTCCCATGTTTCCACGCTATGAAGGTGTAGATAGGAGCCGTTGGGCACATTCTGCATGGTGACATTAGGCCACAACTGACTGAGTCCATGAGTTGGGGCATACACAGCCAGCTTTGTGTTTCCGCTCTTGTTCTTTCTCCATTCAACACTTATGATCGTGAGAGAAGGACTGCCTTGGATAATACAGGGTAAGGTAACATTCTCCCCGACTACTGCCTCCATCTTTTCATAATGTAAAATGTCAACATCCTGGAGCCCTGTCAAGCACATCAGACATTGGAAGCAGTACAAGTTAGAGACACAATCACTTACATTTTGAAGTTGATATTACAGACTGAAGTCCGCTGGAATGCGGGCAGACACTATCATAGCATTATGCTAACGTAGCATGTCAAAACAAATACCAATACACATTACAAACCCATTGTGGATATCCCGAGAATGCTGGGATTTTACACGAGCGCCAGTGGTTTAGGATTACCTTGTGTAATAGAGGCAAGAAGCAGGAGAGAGAAGGCCGTTCCCAGGACACCTCCAGCCATGTTCAAGCTCTCCAAACTCATTATGATCAATCAGACTGAATCCATTGAGAGGTTCAGCAAAGACAGAAAGAGTAGACTGCCAACTGAGGTTAAAGAGTGGCGTAGAGCCTGTGAGACAGACAACAGGATGACATATCTTAACAGGAAACCACACGGAGCGAGTCATATGTTTAGCGCTTTGTGGCTAAGAAAACCTCTGGTGCAAAGCAGGTTCTTGCAATAGAAAATCTCCACAGAGCTATCACTATTTATTCTATTGGTCAGGACTAACTGACGAGACAAAGAGGATAGACTTTTATCTATATACCAGGCTAGAGAATTGACTCATTTAATTTTGGTTAACATAACTGATCATTTAAGATTCAAGGTAAGACACTGAGACACAAACGCATACAAAGTACATTCTAAAACCAAGAAGATACATCCTGTATACAATGTGTATCTATCATGTCCATGTACATACTCTCCTTTTAGCTCCACCTGTTGGTCAAAACATACTCAACATACAATACAATCTAGAGATCTGCTGGAATTCTAATGCATGAATGAATTAATCAAATAATCAAGTCATTTGTCTGCAGCTTCTAGATTCATACAACTACATCCAATTGGCACAAATCATAAGAATACACTAGTAAATCTTGTAGAATCTAACCTCTTTGTTCATCATTTAAAGTCTAAAATACTGCTTATGATTGGGAACATGTTTTTTGTAGAAAGGTTTTGCAAGGATTTAAGATAATTATGTTGATATACTTGTCAAATTATCAACTAAAAGAAACAATGGTATCAGTTAATAGTATGGATCAGACTTTGCAGTAATATTTTGAGCATGACCTTTATTTTAACTTAAATCAGAGCTGAGAATAGCTATCCATAAGAAGTATTCTGTCAGTATTCTGTCAGTGCCTTTTCAAAGTGTATCAGGACGATAAGGTTAAGGGGTGGAAGGATTGAGGGATAAAGGGTCGGGGTGATGGAAGGGAAAGGGAGGTGGGTTTGTAAAATATGACTATCAGCATTTTTCCAAAGTTTCGACTAAAGGCAAATAATTTAAATTGATTCTCAGTTTAAAACTATGTCTGTGGATCATCATATCAGAAACATCCCAGATCATTATGAACACTGTGGCTCCTTTCCTTCCTACAGTGACACATCACCACATAGTGACAATATGGGAGATATACAAAAGCAACATTTATGTGATGTGTTTTGTATGACTACATAATAATTAAACTGCAAATGAATGAAAAGTTAAACAGAAAATCTGAAATCTGGAGAGTTAAAACATGATATTTTCCAAACACCCGTCCGATGGTCCTTCACTTGTTGCAGAGCTGGCTGTTGATTTATTCTGATTCTGATTTGAATCTTACACAGTAACATCTAACAAGGTTTTTCTACTAGTGACCTTATGTTTCATCGTGTGAAAATCTAAACTGTACATGGAGTGAAATGTGATGTTTTAAGGCTCTCTGTTTTGAATGGACTTGATTGGCTCTGTCAAGCAGGACAGTTATAAACCAAGACACTGATGAGGATTTTTCAAAGTTATTTATTATATGGAACAAAAACATTTTTATAACAAATAAGCATGTACACATAGTTGAAGCAGTAATATAAAGCACTTGATCATCAGCTGGTCTTAACAATACATCATGTTTGACACCTCAACATGATTCAGTGCAAGCTGCCAGCAGCTCATTCTTCTAATCTAGACGTACAGTACCAGTCAATAGTTTGGACGCACCTTCTCATTCAATGGTTTTTGTTTATTTACATTTTTTTCTACTTTGTAAATTAATACTGAAGACATCAAAACTATGAAAGAACACATATGGAATTATCAAATTAACAAAAAAGTGTTAAAAAAATCCAGAATATGATTTATATTTTAGTTTCCTCAAAGTAGCCCCCTTTTGCCTTGAAGACAGCTTTGCAGACTCTTGGCTTCTCTCAATCAGCTTCATGAGGTCATCACCTTGGTTTTGAATTAACACGTATGCCTTGTCAAGAGTTTGGAATTACTTGCCTTCTGAATGTGTTTGAGACCATCAGTTGTGTTGTGCAGAGGTAGGGTTAGTGCACAGTGGAAAGCCCTATATGACTACTGTTATAATCCATATTATGGCAAGAACGACTCACCTCAGTAAAGAGAAGCGACCGTCCATCATCACTTTAAGAAATGAAGGCCAGTCGATCCGGAACATTTCAAGAACTTTGAATGTATCCTCAAGTGCAGTCGCAAAAACCATTGAACGCTATGATGAAACTGGCTCTCATGAGGACCCCCCCGGGAAAGGAAGAGCAAGAGTTACCTCTGCTGCAGAGGATAAACACATCAGAGTTACCAGCCTCAGAAACCGCAAATTAAAGCACCTCAGATTAGAGCCCACATAAATGATCACAGAGCTCAAGTAGCAGACAATCTTAACATCCACTGTTCAGAGAAGACTGTGTGAATTAGGCCTTCATGGTCCAATTGCTGCAAAGGAGCCACTACTGAGGATGAACAAGAAGAAGAAGAGAATTGTTTGGGCCAAGAAACACAAGGATTGGACATTAGACCAGTGGAAATCTGTACTTTGGTCTGATGAGTCCAAATCTGACATTTTCAGTTCCAACCTCTGTGTCTTTGTGAGATGCAGAGAAGGTGAGCGGATGGCTTCTTCATGTGTGGTTCCCACCGTGAAGCATGTAGGAGGAAGTGTGATGGTGTGGGGGAGCTTTGCTGGTGACACTGTTGGTGATTTATTCTAAATTCAAGGCACACTTAACCAGCATGGCTACCACAGCATTCTGCAGCGCCATGCCATCCCATTTGGTTTGCGCTTACTGGGACCATAATTTGTTTTTCAACAAGACAATGACCTCAAATACACCTCCAGGCTATGTAAGGGCTATTTGACTAAGAAGGAAAGTGATGGAGTGCTGCGTCAGATGACCTGGCCTCCACAATCACCGACCTCAACCCAATTGAGATGGTTTGGGATCAGTTGGACCGCAGAGTGAAGGAAAAGCAGCCAACAAGTGCTCAGCACCTCTGGGAGGTCCTTCAAGACTGTTGGAAAACCATTCCAGGTGACGACCTCATGAAGCTGACTGAGAGAAGCCAAGAGTGTGCAAAGCTGTCATCAAGGCAAAAGGGGGCTACTTTGAAGAATCTAAAATATAAATCACATTCTGGTTTGTTTAACCCTTTTTTATTTACTACATAATTCCATAAGTGTTCTTTCATAGTTTTTTCATGAATTTCGTCTGTTGCCATCAGGGCGAAGATATACTCTACCTGCTCAAAGGACTAATCGCTTTTCAAAATCATTCATCCCTTCTGCACTCAAACTTTTAAATTCTTGAAAGGCTTTTAAACTTGATTATTGATTATTTATTTATTTATTATTGTGATGCTATGAACTATTTATAGTGTAAATTGGAATGATCCACATCTGTGCTCCCAGGTGTATCTGTGTGTTTTCTTCCTGTATGTTCCTGCCTGTGTACATGACATAAGCTGCTGCTCATAACCAATTGCCCCTTGCGGGATTAATAAAGTTGTTGATTGATTGAGTGATTGATTAATGTATTCAGTATTAATCTACAATGTAGAAAATAATTAAAATAATAAAAAAAACTTTGAATAAGAAGGTGTGTCCAAACTTTTGACTGGTACTGTACATGCTGCTGACTCCTACCTGCTGCTGCTACTGAAAAGCTGACAATAAAAGCTTGGCAAATCAAGGTGAATTGTTATAAATTGTAAATCCCTACAGGATTTTAGGTCCCCCCCCTTAAATCATGTTCACATGGATAGGATACTAAATACATTTGCACACATCTTGTGTCCATATCTTTCTGTTTTGGTGGTCATGCCACAACAGTGCACGTTCATGCATGCACAAGTCATAGTGCATGTTGGTCCTTACGCCTTTTACACACTCTCTCCAAAGCATAACATAAAAACTTTGAAAATAAAACAGAAAGATATCTGTATTAAGAGGTTGCTTTTTTTTTGCACAACATGAAAGAAAGCCAAAATTAATGGGCTGTGATTTTTTTTTTTTTTTAAACAGAGGTTGAGTTCAATAATTTGTACGGCCCTCGGAGGATGTTGTGAAAATTGAAATGGCCCTTGAGAGGAAAAAGGTTCCCCATCCCCTGCTATAGGGGCTGTGTCATCATGCCAATCTTAGGAACATAGCTATCATAACTTCAACACAGTGTCTCATGAGCGTCATCCATGTAGTCATACATCCGGCTACGTACACAGCTACGTAGGGCCTCTGTTATCATGTGCTACTCTGATATAGAAGAAACATCCAGTATTTTCCCAACATGAATGTATCCACTTTCCCCACATCCTCCACTGCCTCGCTCTCCACAGGGATATTTCAACGTCCTTCTTCTATATTTCCATCAGGTGAGCATCTGAAGAAAATCACAGAAACTTTGTGTAAAGTTACAGCTGGAACTGTGACTATAAATGTTGAGTGGGCCTGTTTTATCTGATGCAGGAGGTTCTAACCTGACTGGACTTTACACCATGTCTTCCTGCACTTCTGTGTCTTCGATGTTCTCATAGTCATGGATAGAGTTCATCTGATGGGGAAAGAAGACAAAATCAGGCTCTCATTCATGAAACCTGCAAATATTTTAAGATGCTATAAAAAATGTTTCATATTTTAAAGTCGATTAGTTGATGCCAATTATTTCTTGGCTGAATTCATAACTGGTTTCAACTCAGGAAGTTGTCTTTAAACACAAGTTCTCTTCACATTGCAGTTATAAGCCACAATATAGCTTTGACAAAGGGGAAATGTTGTCAATAGGTCCGCTCTCTCTCACCTCTATCTCTACAGGTTCATGTGCTTCAGTGGTGGAGCTCAGAGCTTTCTTCTTCCTGGATTAAGGGCAACAACAAATACTGAATTTATTTCATAACAATAAACTAAAAGATGTTAGAAGGATGTGTGAACTGATGAATTGATATTGTTGTACCTCATCCACAGACTCAGGAGAAATACAGGAATCAGCATCAAGACCAGCACAGTCATCCTGATGATATTCATTGTCATTGTTGAACTCCCTAGAAACATGATTACATATGTGATACTTCTCACCAGTAATTTGATAAATCACATTGTCAGGGTCATCCACGTCTTCCACCATGGAGGTTCCTCCCTGAACACTGACATTTTGAATATGCTTTGGTTGCTTCATATTACAATGTAAATATATAGAATCGGAGGGATGAAACCCTCTTTAATGGTCACACATGCAGAGCACACAGCACCCACAGTGAAATTTGGCCTCTGCTTTTAACCCAGCCATCCTAGTACCAGGAGTCTAGTACGAGCAGGATCAGGTTTGGTGAATGTGGAGAACTTACCTGCCACAACAATTAGATGTAAGGTGGAGTTACTACGTCCTAATATGTTCTGGGTTTCACAGTAATAATTCCCACTGTGTTCAGCTCTGAAGTCAGTGATGTTGAAGATCTGTCCTGAAGCTTTTGGAGAGTCTTCATTCTTCTTGTACCAGGTGTAGTTAGCTGCTGGGTTAGCATCACTGCTACAGGTCAGAGTCACTGAACCGCCCTCCTCTATCTCAGCAGAGGGACTCACTGACACAAAGGGAAACTTAGGAGTGTCTGCAGGAGATGTGTTTAAAGTTATTAACATGGAAGGGTAGATATAACGGCAACTTGCAAATGTCCAGAGACACAAAGTAGGAAACGTTTTTTCACACAATGCAACACATTTTTAAGCTTTGGAGCATCTGGAGGAGATAACATGAACACATTTCTTTTAGTTCCACAGTGGAAGATATTTTAAATGAACAATAGTTTAATAAAACACAAAGTGGGGGTTAACTTGATTTCATCCTTTATCAGAAATCTAAAAACTTTGAGGGAAAGTGTTAATCTTTATGTCATGGAAGAAGTTTCCTTCGTAATTCTCATTTATTTCTCTTTCTAGTAGCATCCCTCGTAGCAAAAGTATATTTTACCTATTTTAAAATCAAACTGAAAACCTAGAGCCCTGGTTCAGTGTATTTGAACACTGCCGTGTCTGCTGGCGACCTCTGGTAGGTATAGATAAATGAGTGCAATGATGATGTTATATGTTAATGTTATCATGTCAGTGGAAGACTGTAAGTCAACTCACACACTGAAGGAGAGGGGAAGTCCTCATATCCCTTTACAGCACAGGAATAACTGTCTGCAGAATCATAAGTGAAGTTTGCATAAGGAGCTGTGTATTCCTTTATTTTCCTTCCATTCTTAAACCAGATGTAGGAAGTGCTACTGGGTGGCCAACTGCTGAGACACTGAAGGTGAGTAGACGATTGGGATCTGCTCACCTCCACCTGGAGATCTGAATAAAGATACAAAAAAAAACATCAATCATGTTTATGTATAGTAATTAAAATGAAATGTTTAATGTTTTAGGAGGACATTTTCAGATACCTGTGACGGACAAAGTGACTCCTGGATTACCCCAGTATGCAGCGTGGTTTGTTATGAACCTGAACCTGTACTCAGCTGAGTCGCTCTCTCTCAGGTTTTTGATTCTCAGAGTGCAGATGTTGTTTTCACAGAGATCCTCTACACCAGGGGTTTTCAAAGTGTGGGAAGGTGAGCCTCCCCTCAGAGAACATAAGAACAGCCGCGCCCCCCCTCCCAATTATTATTGCTATTATTATTATTATTATTATTATTGTTGTTGTTGCTATAATGCAGGGGTATTATTATCCAGTGGAATGCCGTTACCTACTGGCCTAGTTAAATGAAAGTGGTTACTTTTTTGGCTGGGCAGTGTAGTTTTACACACCGTCTTATTTGACTTTCTCAGGACTTAAAACCAGGGTTCAAGTTATGTGGGAGCCAATGGGAGCTGAGCTCCCATAAGGAGGGGTCTGAGCTCCCACGGACGCAGTGAAATCATACATCTGTGGGGGTCGCTAATACATTACCAACAACCATTATTTTAATCACAAATACTGCATGTGTCAATGTAATGAGTATTATTTAAGTTAACGAGGTAAATAGGCTAAAAGAAAACATGTTTTCCAAAAGAACTACGCATCGTATTCTCTCTTGATGACAATATGCCTGCACTTCACCTCCAAGGTGCGCAATACATTATTGCGCAATCTATGCCTGTGAGCGTGCTGCGCGAGCCGAGATGATGTGTGTGCGTTGTTGAACCTTTTCATATTTAAGTTTGTAGCAAGTAGAGGGCTGCTGCTGCTGTGTGTGTGTGTGTGTGTGTGTGTGTTTGAGTGTGTGTGTGCGTGCGCACGCACACGTTAGTTTTAAAGACCCCCATAGAGCTCAGTTTATAACTCGAACCCTGCTTAAAACAGTTTTTTGGGGGCAGACCCCCACAAAGAAAAAAATATATTTACACACGTAAGGTCATCATCTTAACAGTATTGTATGCTCATCGAGTCATCCGTGAGCAGAGCATCAAGTTGGCATGCCTATAACAGCTGAATGCGGCGATTACCATCTTGTTCAGCAAAACGCCTCACAAACTTATTAAGATCTAAAGCTTTTTTTGCGCCGTCCCGTTCATATGAAATCGCCGCCAATCACATTTCCACGCTCGCGCCAGGGCCGGGGGAGGGGTTACAAGCTATGGTTACAAGGCTCGCGTCTTGTGCTGCATTCACTTGCACTCGGACATTAGGGATTTTCCTTCATAAATGTCCGATGAGCCACAACTTTTATTTCAAAACAAAGCTGCCAACTGGGGTGGCAGCTGGGGTGGCAAGGCTATTTTTAGGGTGGCAGTTGCTACCCCATGCCACCCCGGTAGATCCGCCCCTGCTTGACCGGTACTTGTTTTTGATCAAAGTCAATGCGGAAAACCCGCACTCACACAGGTAGGCGGAGGTGAAGGGAATGAGCACTTTTACAGCCTTTTTGACGAGGTGGGGGCACTGGCCGTTTCTCAATGTCGACTCGAGTAAAGCTGCTGCAGAGCCACTATTTCAAGTATACTACGTCATCGAGTGGCGCCGAAGGACTGTTTAAATGCCCAGCATTCGGCGCTACTCGATTAAGTAGTATATGAAATAGTGGCTCTGCAGCAGCTTTACTCGACATTGAGAAACGGCCTCGGTCTCCACAGACAGCCAAAAGCGTGCAAGTGACGTTTTCTGCCAGACGCTGTCTCCTCTCTCACTTTAGGTAACTAAAAATCGATCCATGTTGCCGCTCGCATAAAGTTAGCTGAAGTTAACTAGATTTCACTGTTTCTCGTTATTTTTTTCTCACGCTGCGCCTCCCCTGAAGCTCTCTGGCGCCCCCCAAGGGAGACGCGCCTCACACTTTGAAAACCGCTGCACTACACAATCTGCATATTCTGAGTCAGTTTTGAAATCTACAGGTTCACCACCTTTCTTCTCAGTAAACCAGAATGTTTTCTCTACTGTGTTAAAACCACCATGCAGATGGGTATGTGTCGCTGCAGTTTATTTCCACTGTTGATCCTTTTACTGCACAGATCTCAGTAGAAGAGTAAGTCACTCCCCAGTCACTCAGTGTTCACCCTAATCCTGCAGGGTAATTGATTTGCAGCAGAGAATTCCGAGTTTTACTTTTAAAGGTCCCATGTCATGGCCATTTCTACTGATCATAATTCCATTGTTGAGGACTACTAGAATAGATTTACATTGTTCAGTGTTCCAAAATGACATTGGTTTCTCAGCATCTCTGTATAGTATGTGTATGTGTATTCACTTTCTGTCCAAAACGGCTTGTTGGAGCTCCTGCCCCCCCTCTCTATGAGCCCAGTGTGCTCTTATTGGTCAGCTCGCCCACTCTGTTCTGATTAGTCCACCACCGTTACAGCGGAACATCAGTGTTTATGTGTTACAATGGCGTTTGTTAGCAACCAGAAAATGACACCAGTAATGACAAACTTGAGAATGCTGCGTGGGGTCTGGGTGCCGTGTTGGCGGGACGTTGCGGGGCAGTTTGAGCTGGATTACTGGTGTCATTTCCTGGTTGCTGCATGGGGTCTGCGAGACAGCAAGACACCGCGAAACTCAGCCTGAACTCAGCCTGAGCACACACACACACACACTCGTAGCCTGGCTGTGAGTTTGTGTCTGTGCTCAGGCTGAGTTCAGGCTGAGAAATCCGCAGAGCCGCGGCTGAGAAAAGATAAGGCTGAGTGAGTGTGTGAGGAAGTCAGCAAAGCCGTTACGTCACTATGACCCTTACGTCACTACGACCAGGAAGAAAACAATGGAAAAAGAGAAATCTCCAACAACGCGTTCTGGGGCAGCATAGACAGGTCTTTTCTGTGTTAGAGTTTTACTCGCTACAGGGTGTACTTTGAAGGTTTGTGACTTTGCAGACCGTTGACATGCATAAAAACCTTCATAACACACAAGGGGACGGGTACTAACCAGAAAATCATGACATGGGACCTTTAAAGCTTCCAATTTGTTCACAGTTTACTGGTGCATTCTCATAGCTGTGCGAATCTGTTCCCTTATCCTAAATAAAAACCTAAAATTGAGTGAGCTTCAGTATAAAAACAAAAGCCAAGTATCAGCTCTTTGGTCCAGTGCAGTTTATGAAGTCATTCGGTCTCTTGGGTCCTCTACTACAGTCGATTGTTAACCCAGCCCAGAGGAAACGCTGAAATAGAGTACACCATAAAGAGAGAAATGCTCACCCGTCCTCAGGCTTGTGGTTGCTGTTAGCACCGTGATGGAGAACTCTTTATGCACACTTTTGTTTCCTGTGTTGACAGTCAGTGTATAAATCCCTGAGTGAGCTTCAGTCACCAACCAGAGCTCCAGAGATTGAATCTCTGAAACCAGTGTGTTGTTCTAGGATAAAACAAGGTTATGAAGCATTAAGAAACCTTTCATATACACAAGTGTATTTGTACTATCAGAGGTGATCAATAATGTTTGATGAATGAAGTGAATTTCATTGTACGGGCAGAAATGGGCTGAGTTATAGTTTTTATATTTTCATCACCTTGGTCCACTTGTAATGATCAGCAGGAAACGCTGTGCATGAAATTGTCACATTTTCTCCAGGATGAACTTCAACAATGCTTTCCGCATCACACAATAATTTAACTTCATCTAGAGGAGAGAAAATATGAGATGAATTTGGATTTAAAACACAAGCATGGGCATGTAGAACATCTGCTGTAAAATGAAAGTGGCAGAAGGATTATTATCAAATGCAATTCACATGAATGGCACCTTCTGGAATTGTCAGCTCCCTTTATTTTGTTCATAACATACCATTGTTAAGGCTGGAAAGAAGGTGTATAAGGGGAAAATAAGTGGGCTAAGCAAAGCTCTTAAATGTGTTCTTGCAAATATTACATACATTTTCTCAGAAGGGCTGATATTGGCTTATGGGCTCTGATGCATTCAAGAGCAAAATGAAAAATAAGCATTAAACACCAAGATAGAACTGTTCATTTGTAACTAAATATGAAATGCTGTGCTGACTGGGAACTTCTCCGCATGCTTTTTGTCTTACCTTTGATCTCTAGCTCTGTTTCGCTGCTGATGGACCCCAGAGGAAAAGTCGCAATTTCACAAATATAGAAACCACTGTCCCATGTTTCCACGCTATGAAGGTGTAGATAGGAGCCGTTGGGCACAATCTGCATGGTGACATTAGGCCAGAACTGACTGAGTCCATAAGTTGGGGTGTACACAGCCAGCTTTGTGTTTCTGCTCTTGTTCTTTCTCCATTCAACACTTGTGATCGTGAGAGAAGGACTGCTTTGGATGATACAGGGTAAGGTAACATTCTCCCCGACTACTGCCTCCATCTTTTCATAATGTAAAATGTCAACATCCTGGAGCCCTGTCAAGCACATAAGACATTGGAAGCAGTACAAGTTAGAGACAAAATCACTTACATTTTGAAGTTGATATTACAGACTGAAGTCCGCTGGAAGACACTATCATAGCATTATGCTAACGTAGCATGTCAAAACAAATACCAATACACATTACAAACCCATTGTGGATATCCCGAGAATGCTGGGATTTTACACGAGCGCCAGTGGTTTAGGATTACCTTGTGTAATAGAGGCAAGAAGCAGGAGAGAGAAGGCCGTTCCCAGGACACCTCCAGCCATGTTCAAGCTCTCCAAACTCATCACGATCAATCAGATTGAATCCATTGAGAGGTTCAGCAAAGACAGAAAGAGTAGACTGCCAACTGAGGTTAAAGAGTGGGGTACAGACAACAGGATGGCATATCTTAACAGGAAACCACACAGAGCGAGTAATATGTTTAGCGCTTTGTGGCTAAGAAAACCTCTGGTGCAAAGCAGGTTCTTGCAATAGAAAATCTCCACAGAGCTATCACTATTTATTCTATTGGTCAGGACTAACTGACGAGACAAAGAGGATAGACTTTGATCTAAATACCAGGCTAGAGAATTGACTCATTTAATTTTGGTTAACATAACTGATCATTTAAGATTCAAGATAAGACACTGAGACACAAACACATACAAAGTACATTCTAAACCCAAGAAGACACATTACATTACGTGTTACTTGTTAGACGCTTTTATACAAAGCGACAATTTGGGGTGAAGTGTCTTGCCCAGGGGCACAACGACATGCTGACTGCAGTGGGGTTTGAACCTGTGGCCCCCTGACCCGAACACCAATGCACAACCCACTGCGCCACACACCTCCATCTACACCTACACATCCTGTATACAGTAACTGTATATCTATCATGTCCATGTACATACTCTCCTTTTAGCTCCATATGTTGGTCAAAACATACTCAACATACAATAAAATCTAGAGATCTCTTTCTCCCCTTACTCGGTTCGCCGTCTTGTATAATAAAGATAATATGTCTGAAAAATGACATAGGCACGGCTTGTACATGATCAGTTTTGTCCTCTGTGCTTGTTGGTGGTTAATGTCACTTGCACTGGGATGAAGAGATAAAATAAACATGACATTAATAATGGGCAACTTTGGAAATTGTGAGTCCAATAGTTTCTCCAATTAACTGATTAGTTCATTTTAAAGGAAGAGCAACATCATTTCTGTAAGGTATAATGTCAAATTGCTGGACTTCTAATGAATTAATCAAATAATTAAATGATTTGTCTGCAGCTTCTAGATTCATACAACTACATCCAATTTGCGCAAATCATAAGGATAAACTCATAAATGTGGTTGAATCTAACCTCTTTGTTCATAATTTAAAGTCTAAAAAACTGCTGATGATTGTAAACATGTTTTTTGTAGAAAGGTTTTGCAAGGATTTAAGATAATTCTGTTGATATACTTGTCAAATGATCTCATGTCTAAATGTATTAGCTAAAAGAAAACAATGTTATCAGTTACTAGTATGGATCAGACATTGCAGTGATATATTGAGCATGACCTTTCTTTTAACTTAAATCAGAGCTGAGTATAGCTACAAGAAGATATCAGTCAGTATTCATGACAGTGCCTTTTCAAAGTGTATAAGGACAATGCCACATTGCTCCATTTCATAAGGGCAGCACCACTTCCCCACGGATTTGTGGACATCTCAAGGGTTTCTGATAGAACTTAAAGGTGGGGTAGGTAATTTATTTCAGAAACACTTTTTGTTATATTCCATGGAATGCTCTTAACATCCCGATAGCAATGAATATATTAAATGCTTTGACAATAAATCCATAAAAATGTGTGGAAGCCGTAGCGCTGTAAAAAGCACGACCAATCATTTTAGCCGGCCCTGGATAACTGGATGGCCTACCTGCCTGTCAGCCTTCCATCTGTGCACAAACTTGTCTCGTGCCCTCATTGGTCATGTGCGCGTCCGTGTGTGTTGGAGGAGGGGCTCTGTAAGGAAGTCTGAAGGAAGGGGCAGATTTTTTCCGGCTGTGTATTTTCAAATTCTAGCGCACTCGAGCTGGTTTCTCCAAAATTACATACCCCACCTTTAACATCGCAGTGGCAGTGACAAAATGATGAAACACTTTGTGCATTTGGCTGATACGTATTATTTTAGCTTGTAGTCGCTTTATAGTATTCAACTTAAAAAAGTAAAATAAAAACGATTGTAATTCTCAATTAAATAATACTGAAGCAAAGGATTTACCCCCTTCGGTTGTTCTCATAAAAAGGAAAGAAAGTGCTGTGACCTGCTGGTGCCCCCTGCACCTCCTGCACACCATAGTAGTTTCACAATGAGGGCTCGAGGGCTCCTGAATACCCCTGTGAGCTGCACAAAATTGCACCTTTCGTGGCATATTGCAACAGAACACCTTTTTGAAAAGTCTGGGAGTAAAACTTTATGTATATGTGTGTGGGAGTGTGCTAGACTGTTGACCTCAATGGGATGTGTGAGCTGTATTTACACACTTTGTGCAAACATCGTTTAGCCACATTCACTGCTCAGTTTTGCTGGGAGCGCAGTGTTATCTCAGTAAATGAGTGTGATTTTAAGAGGCAATGTATCATTAAAACCTGTTTCACACCTTCCCCCCGGTACCGGGCGGATAAACGCGTCATTTGCAGGAAACAACGTCTAAGGAATCTTAATATTGAATAAAACTATGAATGTGTTATATCCATGTAACGGGAAGAAACTCAGCTAACTGATCTTTTTAATTTTTTTTTTCAAAAAAACCCCACAATGCTAGCACTCAGCCTCTGAATTAGCCTCGACGAAAAAACGTAACCTACAAAGGCACATAAACTCACTCAGAACTCCCTTATTACTTATCCTAGATGCACAACCAAACACTCTTTTTTGGTGTCCTGGAGACACTGAATCTAACGGTGCCCTCCTCAATACTCAGTGATAAACATTCGCGACGCTCTAAACGAAAGCGTACATCATCACATGTGGAGCTAAGAAGCTAAACAGTAAATATGGCTTACCTTGGTCAAAAGTGGTCTTCAATGGCATAAAAACGATAAAAAAACGATGCTGCAGTTAATCCATAGGTTCATCCTATGTGTCTGTGCCTTCTTTGAAATTATTTCTGATAATCCATAAGCAATACAACTGCGTTTTAGTTTCCAAACTCCAGAAGGAGACATTCCTCTACTTTGGTTTCGTTTTCCACACGCGAAGCAACCAAATTTTTTCTTTACAACCTGTCTGGGTGGGAGCCTCCCCCTTCGATTCTATTGGCTCTAACGGTCACAAGGGTATGTCAACCAACCAAATCGAGCAAGGGGGGCCAGAGATAGGTCAAATCCACCCAAATGACCCCAGATGGCCCAGTTTTTGGCTAAATCTCTCTAAAAAGGTCAAATTTCACTTGTTTTGCATCAATCTTGATACAGGGTACTTATTATATGTTGTACTTTGGATTCCTAAAGCTTTTAGTCTACTAACCCATCATTCAAGGGTAGTTTTCACTATCTGTAAAAAATAATATTTGGACGGACACTATAATTTACAGTTTTTTACTATGTAAAATCTGAATTTTCTTTAAAATAAAAAACATTTATATTGATTCTGACACTTCTACATCCAACTCACAGGTTTATCATTACTTTGAGAACAAAGATTATTAATTTAACCCTTTTAGAAGGGAAGATATGGTCATTTGTTCTGGGAATGTCATTTTCGAGCCTGAGACCTGAAAAACAGGCTGAGAGTGGAACAGTTAAATCTGAGCATGTTGCACAGACTGTCTGACTACAAAACACTGAAAGCCCTGATAGATTATTTAATGTTCTAAATATAACAAAGAGTATACTGCTTTTGTATTCTAACCTAGCGAGATGATAAAATGCTTTCTATCTATTTTTAATCTTCACATCTGTACAAAGTGATATAGATCTGAATATAACTTTAAAGGAGGCAAGAGAGTGAGTTATTCGCTGAAAAATAAAATTGATATAATGGTTATTTCTTTAATGGAAAACATTTTATAAGAGGATCCGATGTTGACAAGGGCGAATGTGGTCATCTACCAATAGGAAGGTCAAGGTTCAGGTCGTTCCTTGTATGGCAGCCGCTGCCTCTGATTGAATGTGTGGAAATGGTAGAATGCTGATTTGTATAAGAAAAAGTGCTTTGAGCGGTTCGTAAAGCGCTCTATAAATGCAGTCCATTTACCATTTGCAGTCCATTAACCTTTCATAACCCCGGCAGAGCTGGTTCAGACATCTGTGAAATTCTGCTGGAACCTTTTAAAACAACACACATTTCACACTTTCTCTCATAATATTAAATGTTGTACGAACTTGAAGTGGTCAATCCCTTAGGCTCAAAGAGAACCAAGCACAAGCTTTGTGCGTTCTATTATACTATAGGCAACATTGATGGCAAGTAGAGGCTAAAAACCCTAGGTTGTGGGAGATCAATCCCAATTAATTTGTTCTCGGCTTCTTAACGATAAAAGCCTTTGAAGATGGGACACCCAGTTAAATTCTGAATCTGATTGTGCCAATGTTAAATTGTCAGTCCTGGTGTGTTGATAAGGAATTTCTATGTCCAGGTGACAAAATAACGTTGTGGTAGATATTGTTGTGTGTGGACAACCCTTAAAGAACATCAGTACTCTCTACCAACCTGCTAGAGACTTTTTAAAGCTGTACTTTGGACATGACAGTCCTTTCAGGTAAATATAACAATTCTAAGGGTTGTAACCATAATTAACGTTGACCTGTGTCTCAAACTATGTTGGAGTTTTTGGATGGAATTTAGCAAGAAGAGTCACTTCGAAAGTCGAAAATGTGGGAACACTACATCAACTCTAATATATCCCTACAGCGAGTTGCTAGATTGGTTAAAAAACGTTTTGCTTTTCACTTTCAGTCAATACATGTTGAGATAGTACGTCAGAACATTACGAAAGAAACACACATTTACTTTTCGTTCAAAGGATGATTGGGTGGGTACAAATAACAAGCACTGCAATCACTGAGCAACTCAGAACAACAGCAAACTTTCTGAACATTTTCTGACATTTTGGAGAAGGTTGGTAGTGTGAGCGTGATTGAAGAAGATTTAGGAGACACAATGCGAGAGCCGTTGTTCAGAATCAAAATATGTTTTATAACTTGTCAGGATTGTACACAATGGGATGCTGAACTAAAGGTTTACAATGGTGAATAGTGTATGGAGGTGTAAGATGGGATGGCAAAAACAAAAATGCAACTTTTCAATTCAATACTCACTCACATCCTTGTACAAAAACAGATGACACAACTAGAAGCCAGACCAGAAACGGTAATGAACTGAACAGTAAAATAATAACTGAACTTATTATAACCAATAGGGCGGGGAGCTGTTCATATATTTATCCTAATGGTTGCACTGTTTGAATATTTAGGCCTGAAACATATTATTATGTTTTTTTTATTCACTTACAGCTAAAATATTTAACTGAATGTTCTTGAATTATGTAATTCTTGTTATTTTCTTAAAGGGGATCTATCATGCAAAAGTCACTTTTTGATGTCTTTTATACATAAATATGTGTCCCCGGTGTGTCAGGGAACTCACACAGCGTTAGAAAATAAAACCCTCTCTTTTTTCCTCCGTACCCAAATCTCTAAAAACGGGGGTTCAACAGAGTTGATCCAGATTTGCGTCCGATATGACGTCAAATCTG